ATCGCAACCTAATCGCACCCTAATTTTTATTTATTATTTTATTTATTATTATTATTATTATTATTATTATTTAGACTTACAAGACCTTTTTCTTTAAGGCTACGAGTGACAACATACCGGTTGAAAAAGCAATGGTAAAGCCATGACACAAAGAGAAAATGAAAGTAGAAGAGAAGTCCACGCTGAAAATTAAAAATCGAAATTCCACATGGTTAGCTTTCACAAGTTTCTTACAAATTATTCCATGATAAATATGAAAATTCTAAGGTGATCAAAGTTTTTTTTTATCGCCATAAGCCATCCTATATGACATGATATAGTCCACAAAATTAAAAAAAAAGTGGGCCCTCCTTTTACTTTTCCCTAAAAATCATTTAAATCATTTCAGAAAATGATATAAATAATTAAAATAATTTCAAAAAGTCGGAAACTAATATTTTTGAAAATCAGAAAATAATTTGATTAAAAGTTGTTAAAAATTAGTAGTTAAGTAAATAAAGGTACATAATACTAATTATTCTCTCACTTAGGGTTTGGTTAACACTTTTTCTTTGTCCTCTGAATCTCTCAAGACGCTCACTGAATTTTGTTACCGACGGTTTCCTGGAAACAGCAAAGCTGTGGTGCACATCACCATAGCCTATATAAGCTAGCGGAGTTAATTGAGTTCATATTAATGGATTCATCGTTGGCTTCCCACAATCTCTCTTTTTAAGGGTTTGTTTTATTTGACCACTCTCTCTCTCCTCTCGACCATCGGGATTCGTTTTCCGAAAACGGAAGACATCACCAGCACTTTATTACGAAACATCACCATAGACTTTATAAATTGAGTTATTGGAGTTCACATTCATGGAGTCACCGACGGCCTTCCGGAATCTCTCTTTTTAAGGCTTTGTTTTACCTGTTTTCTCTCTCCTTTCAATTAACGGGATTCGATTTTCAGAAACGATAGACATTACTAGCGTTTTATTGCATGATATGTGTAATTTTTAATTTTGCAAGTTAAGAGATTGTCGTGATGATGTGGAATCAGTTGAGGGAGATGATCTGATGTACATAAATTGTTGTTGTTGGCGCCTTCCACCTAAACACTTGGACAACACCAACTACCTAAATTATACAGAATATATTTTATTACGTTACACAATGAATGTCCCAATGGTAATTCTAATCTCACATAAAGCCCGGAATACATAAATTGACATATTAAAAACTCAGCTAACATAACTTTAAATTTATAATAACGATTTAAGTTGCCCTTTAATTATGAAGTACTTTTTGATAGTATAAGCTCTGAATACATATATTTGTTTAATTTAACATACAAACTTTTTGTCATTGAATTGAGTTTATTTTTACTGAACATTTATAAAATTTAACTTTTATCTAATATAAAAAATTTCCCTACCTTGACAGGCCACCCAAATTTAAACACGTACGCTTGTTGTTGAATTTGAAACAAATATAGCCCATTATTAGTCGCCTTCCAAAAACAATGTCGCCCACCACAACCGTCGTCAAGGAACTTAGAAGTATCCCTAAACGACTCGAATTTGATTTCACCACCTTCAACCCAATCAATGACACATTCATAACTTACGGTGTAAAAAAAGGCAGTGTGCAAATCGAATGTGAAATTGGTGTTTACAGCCACATGTTGAAGCTTCAAATCTTTATCATCCCCTTGACAATGCACATCAAGAGTATCATTAGACAAATTATTTATAACGGCTACATAGTATTTTACATATTTTGCAAAGGCTATTGCATTGACATATATTTTGGGTTGATTTGAGATAATTATAATTGCAAGAATTAGGAGCATATAATGTACTAGAAATCCATGTGTTTTCATTTTTCTTGTGTTGTGTGGTGCTTTTAGGGGAGAAGATGAATGAAGTAGTTGTGTGGTGCTTTTATGTGGTCAAAATATAGGTAGGTTATATTCATACATGATACATGGAATGCATGTATAGTATAGTGTAACATTCAAATACATTTATTACTTGTATATCCAATGAGATTCTTAGCAATCAAGACATTAAATTCTACATCCTCCTTCATTTGTCATGATTTTGGTTTCCGGTTGGTTTTACATACTTTTATGAAGTTGCTACGTTTTCAAATTGACTTTAAGACACTTATCCGGTTTTTTAGTGTCCACTTTACTGCTGTATTATTCACTTACACGACTTTGACCAAATTTTGTGATTTATAAGTACATAACATTAATTATAGTTAGAGGTGGGCATTGTGTTGTACCGGGCCACTGCGGGTCGTGTCTCGCCGTGTCTAGTGGTGGTTCGTGCCATGTCGTGTCGAGGTTACCGTGCCGCCCATATTTAATTTTTTTTTTTAAAATAAATTTGATACTACCTCTGATTTTCATTAGTTGCAACTTTGAGGTATTATTTGTGAGATATAAAATATTCCAAATTTGCAACTAAAAAAAATTTAAGGTAAAAATCGGAGGTAGTATATTTTTTTTGAATAACTTTTAAAATGTATATACTCGTGTCCTATTTAAATAATTTTATTAATTTATGTTTATGTTATTTTATTATTATATTATTATTGTACTTTTTATCATTCTTATTTTTATTATTATAGTTCTTTATTATTTACATTATTTTTATTATTAATTTATGTACGTGAAGCAGCGAATGAGTAGTCGTTTTGCACGGGTCGTGCCGTGCCTGGCGTTCCGCATGTCGTGCTAGGCCATGCCACGTTCCATGCCGGCGAGCCGTGCTTGCGGGCTAAAGTATCATACTGCCCGCGGGTTTGTGTCGTGCCTGTGTCGACTTTTCAAAATCGTGTTCACGGCACGGTCCACGGCCCACTCCTCGGTAATCGTGCCGCTGGCGTGCTTGTGTCGTGCCATTTTCGTGCCGGGCCTGTGCCGCCCGCGGCCCGACCCATTACCAACTCTAATTATCGTCTTGTAGGTAATTATTTATTATTAGCAACGTCTTAATGTACAGTTTCTAAATATCAATTATATATTTATAATTTTTACTTATTGATAATAGAATATATATATATGGTCAAAGTTCCATATGTTTCAACAAATGTATGTGTCGAGAATTGAGAAACTTAAAAATAACAGAGAATACATATTAGTAAAAAAACTTGATATTGGCACACACAATTACAGAACGTGGGACATTGCATATTTCGCATGTGAGAAGATATTTTAAAGGTTTATTTAATTTTTGGAAAATGTTATACATAGCCTTTAGGGCTACATATAAACATTAAATTTACACTTGAAAATCATAAAAAGTTAAGAAATCATCAAAATATAAAAACTAATAACACTGATTTACGACTGTTTTTTATCATGAATTCCTAATTTTTTACAATTTTCAAGAGTATAATTAATGCTTATATATAACCCTTAGGGCTACATATAACATTACCCTTAATTTTTCTCTAATGAGATTCTAGATGGTTGGTTAAAAACTTAATATTTCACAATTAGAGACCTTGGGGCACCAATTGAGAAGTCAACGCTGAAAAATAAAAATTGAAATCCACACATATGGTATCATTCACCATTTTTTTTTTCTTACAAAAGTACAATGATAAATGTGCATTTTTGAAAATATTAGACCACTATCAGCAGTGAGGGAAAAAAAAACTCCTCAATCTCTCTCTACCCACTTTCTCACTCCTCCAACCCAATTTCCCTCATCAAATGATTTTTTCACCACACCAATGAGGAAAAAAAAAAACTCCTCAATCTCTCTTTACCCACTTTCTCACTCCTCCACTATACCCCACCATAATACACATCATCTTTTTATTTTATCTTTATTTTGAAATATTGTTTATACTACATAATTAATTTTCCAATACAATTAAAATATGTAAAAATAATTTATTTTTTAATTACGTTTAAAAATAATTTAATAAAAATATGTAAAAATAATTTTTTTTTGTAAGAAATAATTATAATAATAAGAAGAAGAAGAAATTGAGAGAATATGTTAATTTCTCTAATTTATGAGATTTTTTTAAATTATATCAAAATATATCAAAATGCATGTCTATTTATAGAGAAAAAAATTTTATGACCGTTGGTGTATTTTTTTTTTAAATATTTACAAAATATAACCATTGTAAAAAAGGTACAAAAATTCTGATTGGCTGAAGCACTGACACGTGTCACCCTCCCATTGGCTGGGCTGACGCGCGTCAGTGCCAGCCATTTAATTTTTTTTTTGCTTCGTGTACTGTTCATTGCTACCGGAAAAAAAAGAAAATGTATTGCTTGTGGGCCCCACGCGTGCACTGTTCATTTAGAAAAACCCTCAACTCTTGAGGGTTTTTTTTTCCCTCACGATTGAGGGTTTTTTCCCTCACTGCCGTGGTGCTCGGTTTTTTTTTTTTACACCCTTATTTTTACTCGTGAGGGTTTTTTTCCTCACTGCTGGTAGTGCTCTTACATGTAAAAGTCAAAATATTGCAATGGACAGTAATTAAAAAATCAGTTAGTGGCGCCCTACTTTTTTCCCTCCCCGCGTACTGACTTTTTGTGAAACCATCTGATGGAGTCTTGTTCCACGAATTCTTCCACCATTTATTTCTCTCTTTTTCACTCTATGATAAACCCATATCACACGGCTTTACTTTGAATTTGACTTCAGATTTTGTAAATCCTCTAAAACCCTTCATTTCTACAAACCCATTAATAAAGTCTAAAGATTTAGCTCAGTTACATAAATGCAGAAGAATTTCTTGGCCTAAATTCAATTTCTCGTGTTTTATGGAGCTTGAATTGACCCTGAACAATTTTCCTTTCTTTAATTTTTGTGGGTACTTCTTAGTTACTGTAAAAGTCTTTGTTTTTGATACATAATTACAAATTGTGGTTTGTGGCATTGCTCAATTACATAATTACAGAAGTTGTTTTTATGCACATAAACTGTTTGATACTTTGTTTCAGAGAATTCTTTGTAAACTGGGTTTGTTGCCTCATTTGGGAGTTTTGATTGAGTGATCATGGTTGCTTTTTTTATGGCTCATCCCAACTCAGGAAAGCATTCAGAAGGGTTAATGGCAAAGCAAGACAACCGCCTTTTGTTCCGTCTCTATTGCCTAGAAGACCATCACAAGTTGGTGAGTATGAATGCAAATTTGTGCTCTTTCTTATTGAATTATGCAATATTTTGGGTGTATATATTAATACTGCTTTGAAGTCAATTTGGTAGGTTAATGTAATGTGCACCCTACTTGAAATCAGAAGTGGATACTAAAACTTTTTTTCTCATAAATTACATGGCACCAGATTTTTATCAATATTCAATTCTCAATGGCAATAGTTCAGTTAGTCTTCTGTAAAATGGTTTACAGAATCAGTTTGATTTGCTACAGCTAGAGCTTAAGCAATTCAAAGCTCTAGATATTATGCTAAGAACGCGAGTTCATGACTTAATTTTAATATTTTCAACTGGTTAAGTAGCTTCATTTTTATATTTTTTTCTTCAGACGACAAAGAATCTACCATAATTGAAAATAAAGGCAGTGATCATGCCATCAAGCTACAAGATTTTACTTTTCAAGAGCTAGCTGATGCGACGGAGAACTTCAGTCCGGAGCATTTTGTGGATGTAGGCAGTTTTGGTAAAATCTATAGAGGGAAACTTAGAAACACTGGAGAGGTATTAACATGGACTTTATTATCTGATCAATTCCTATATTCTACATTATGTAAACTCAATTACTATTTTATGCAATACTTCATGTCATATGATTTCATGTTATTGAAAGACTGACATTGAATGGTTTGATCTTAGATCATAGTTGTCGAGCAACTAGACAGAGATGGATCACGAGGACACAGAGAATTTCTTTCACAGGTGTTGGTGCTGAGCATCCTCAATCATATAGGATATTGTACGAAGGGAGATGAAAGATTTTTAGTGCATGAATATCTGCCTTTGGGGTCCCTGGACCAGCATCTACATGGCAATAATTTGCCAATTTCCTTTATGCAATCATGCTAAATCTAATTTAGAATTTAGAAAAATCTTGCTTCAAAACTGTAAGTTTACGTTTAAGACTTTAAGCATTAGCCAACTTATATTAGAACTTACTCATACATGAGTAGACAAAGAACTCTCTCACTTTTTCTTGGCACCAATGGCACACTACTTGTTATTGCTTCATCGGATGTTATGCTACTTTGTCATGTAACAGTCACCTATTAATTTTGCTTTATACTTCTCTTGAAAATTTCAGACAGATCATCCAAGCAAAAGCCTTTAGATTGGTATACAAGAATGAAAATTGCTCTGGGGATTGCTAAAGGTTTAGAATATATACACCATAATGCCAGCCTCCCAGTCATCTACCGAAATCTGAAACCCTCCAACATCTTACTAGACAAAAATTTTAAAGCTAAGCTCTCTGACTTCGGGCTATCTAAAATTGGACCTACTGGTGAAATGAAGCATATTTCTACGAGAATAGTCGGTACTAATGGATACATTGCACCAGAGTACCAAAATACAGGTTTTTTGACTATGAAAGCAGATGTATATAGCTTTGGAGTTGTTTTACTGGAGTTGGTGACTGGGCGAAGAGCTGTTGATATCACTAAACAAACCAAGGAGCAAAATTTGGTCTCTTGGGTAAGTTTCCCTCTTATTTCATGGTAATGAAGATAAGGTTGCTAATTGATTGAAACTTTTCTACTTTTTATATATGTAAAGACAAAATTGGAAAGGTTGGGCAAGTGTATTCAAGTTCTTGCATGTCTCACATATTTGTTTCTTCATTGATATGAGTCATATGACTTTGAATTAGTTAAATGAAATATGGTTGAAAGGATTGTTTGTGAAATTGCATTATATGTCTTCATATTTCTACATAACCTTGTGCATCTCTCTGATAGCTGCGCACTCTATTCGATTTCAAAGAGCTTATACGTGTAACATGCCTACCTCTCAGTAACTTTTTCATATATATATAATCTATATCATATATGCTAACCCTGAAATCTTCACTCTATTTTTGATTGGTAAGTTAACTAGTTCAGTAAATATTGTTTTGAACATGTGATTTATGCTGCAATTTAACTTTGAAGCTTTTTAAAACTGAAAACTTTGAGGAATAATGTTTGCTTCTCCAATTAAATAGGCACATCAGATACTGAAGAAACCAAGTAAGTTTACAGAGTTAGCTGACCCTGTACTTCAGGGGAATTTCCCAGCTAATGGATTCAACCAAGCACTAGCGGTGGCAGCTATGTGTCTTCAAGAAGAACAAACAGCTCGACCCATGATGAGTGATGTGATCACTGCCATAATGTACCTCTCATCAGACAACCTAGATGACAGCATAAAGTCCTCTCCTCCCGAACCTGTATAGAGCATAATAGTATGGTGATCATGGAAAATAGTGTTGCAGAGCATCATCACTAGTTCATCAGATGAAGTGAGCATCATTCCGACTGAGCATATTGTAAATACAGTTTCTCTCTCTTCCATTCTCTTTTAAGATTACCTCTTGTGTATAAGCTTGTTAGGAATATGGGGGCGGTATTACCCTGTTAAATTTATCTAATATCACCCCTTTTTTATACTTGTAAACTTTTGGTGTTATTTTTCTTTTGTCAAGGCTAAAAATATCCATTAGAACACAAGAACAATGGGAGCTATGCTTGTCTTTTATCTTGCTTATTATTGGTCTATTTTGCCAACAAGGCAAATAACTATTACAAGTACTCTGTATTAACTTATCATCTCTCAAAGAAAGATTTTGTTTTAGATGTGATTGCTACATTTTTCAATTTCCTGTATGATGTAACAGATGCATTGAAATTATATTTTCAAATTTTTGTTATTGTAACAATTTATTACTGTATCATGGGTTTTGACTGGGGATAGTAGAGTTAGTAATTTATGTTAAGATGAAAGCAGGGCAATCGTACGATTATGGAGGTTAGATATAATTAAAATGCTATGATAGTTACAGAGTATGATTTGCTTTCTAGCATTATTGACACATAATTTTTTCTATGTTAACCCGAGCCCAAACGCTGCAAGCTTTGAACAAACATTATTCAACTCATAACTATAAACTGAAATGTTTGGGAAAAAAAAATAATCTTATTTTATCCAACCTGAATTCAATAGGAATGTTTGTTTGACGGGTCTCCCAGGTCCTGTTAATGAATATTTAACATAACTGTTAGTACTTTGTGGCACCCAAGTTATTTTCCTTCCTCCCTGCATGACTTTCTCTGCAACTACCTTACAGTTTCCGAAAACTTCAGAATTTCCCCCTGTTATTTTCTCTCCTCTGGTCAAATCCATGCTATTTAATTAGCCTTAATTCTAATGAAGTGCTTAACCTTGATACTTGCATTGGTTTATCTATTTTTATGAACATCTACTGTTTTATTGATGGATTCAAGATTTTTTTTTTAAACAGGTAAGCTAATTGGGAAACTGGGTTTCTTGCCTCAACTGGAAATTTGAACTGGGTCAGCATGAACTTCTTTTGTTGTGGTTCATCACAACGTGGTGCGTATGAAAGTATATTTGTTTTTTCTTCTTCTTCTTCTTCTTTCCACTACTAATTTCATACTGCTTTGATGTTAATCATGGAAAATCTGTTAGACTATCCATGTTTGTGCTAAGAATTGTATTTTTTTTATATAGTGTTGAACCTAACTAATTGCAATACATGATTCATCCTATAGCTTTTTTAATTTCTATCTGATTTATTGAGAAATGTGTGAAATATCAGTATGATTTACCAATATAAGATTACTTATCTTGTGCTTATAGAGCACTATACTTGAGTAAATCGACAAATTATTTATTGTAAACTTCTTTTCAAATTGTTTACACCTTCTTCAGATCTTTTTATCAATAATCTCTTATGTTCAAGAGATGATATTGAAGAGTTGATGAGCTTTTTCTATCCTTGGAAATGGAATTGTTAATTAGTTAAAGACTATATACACATGTAATGTAAGATTCTTAAATTTGAGACTTTAAGAAAACCCTCAATAACCATGACTTTGAGTAAACTAATAATGTGAGCAAAACATCTTAAACATGGATTAAAATCCGTGTCAAGTGGTATCAGAGCCAGATCAATGATAATTAATATATGGAATAGAGTTCTTTTCTTTATTTTAGTCAAAATACATTTTTTGGCAAATGCTTTCCTCTAATTAAGTGCCGCTACACCATTTTGTTCTTCAGATACCAACCAGCCGAACACAGCTGCAATAACTTTCTATAACAGTGATCAGACCACCCTGGTACAAGAATTTACTTTTAAAGAGCTAGCTGATGCAACACAGAACTTCAGTCTAGAATGTCTGGTGGGTGAAGGCAGCTTCGGTAAAGTTTACAGAGGGAAACTCCAAGAAACTGGAGAGGTACTAACATGGAACTTACATTCTGCTTTTTCTTTGTCTTCTACATGAAGCGAAGTCTGTTATCTTTTTTATATGCAATGCTTCCTATATTTTCCTGTTGCTGCTGGAAGTCTGACATTGAGTTGTTTGTTCTTAGATCGTGGCTGTCAAGAAATTAAACTTGGATGGATTACTAGGACACCGAGAATTTCTTGTACAAGTGACAATGATGAGCCTTTTTAATCACCCAAATCTGGTAAATCTTACAGGATATTGTGTTGAAGGTGAAGAGAGAATTTTAGTGCATGAATATCTGCCTATGGGATCCCTGCACCACTATCTGCACGGTAATATGGTCTGATCTTCTGATACATTATCAGTTTGCATCACCACTGTAATTTGCTTCAGACTGAATTCACTTACGATAGAATCTTAAATCTTATTCAGACAGATCACTGAAGCAAAAGCCGCCTTTAGATTGGCATACACGAATAAGAATCGCTCTGGGGGTAGCCAGAGGTTTAGAATGTATACACCATTCTAGTCCTCCAATTATCTACCTCAACCTAAAACCCTCCAACATCTTACTAGACTTTGATTTTAATGCTAAGCTCTGTAATTTCAAGCTAGCTAAGATTGGACCTTTCAGAGACAAGAGAATTAACCTTGAAAAGGTGATGTTGGGAGCTCAAGGCTACTTTGCACCAGAGTACAAAAAAACTGGTCTTCTAACTGTGAAGACGGATGTATATAGCTTTGGAGTTGTTTTACTAGAGTTGATCTCAGGGCGAAGAGCTATCGATCTTTCAAGGCCATCTAAGGAGCAAAATCTGGTCTCTTGGGTTAGTCTTCCCTCATTTCTTGACTATGACTATATACATGTCTGCTCCTAGTTCTTTTCTTCATGTCATTGGTTGTAACTTTTACACTCTTTAATCAACTTTACCATAAGATTGAACTGTTGATATCATAAATTAGTATATTAAGTAATCTCATAGCCTAATATATGTCACAAAATCACAAATCCAGAAATTTGGTGCATATTTTTTCAGCAAACTAGCTCATTAAATATTTGTTTGAACATGTGACTTATGCTACTTCTTCTTCAACTATTAGGCCCAACAGAGATTAAAGAAACCAAATAAGTTTCCAGAGCTAGCTGATCCGCTCCTTCAGTATGAATATCCAGTTAAAAGATTAAATCAAGCACTCGCAATAGCAGCCAAGTGTCTTCGTGAAGAACCATCAGCACGACCCATGATGAGCGATGTAGTTGCTGACCTTATGTGCCTCACCTCCGACAACTTTAATGACATACGTGTGTACTCGTGTTGACGGAACCTTGCATTGAAGAATTAAGATCACCCTTGAGTTCAGTATAGATCAGATCATGCTTGTTTTCCTATCATTTCTATCCCGCTCTCTTTGTATTTTCTCTCTTTTTGTATGACTTGTAATCAATATACATATGTGTACATTTTGTGGATAACAAATTAACAATTATTGACAAAGATCTGCCCATGTATAAGAAGCAAAATCAGAAATATATATGGGGATTATTCTAAAAAATCAGTCTTTCAAGTTTCAACCTTAAATTGATTCAAGCCATAAATACTAAAATAGAAAGACATTGTTAATGTTATGGTGCACTCTCTATTTTTTTTTTTTTTAACTTGCTTTTACAAAACTAGTTACGAGTTTGCGACAAATATGAAGAGAGAGAAAAAAAAAATAAAAAAAAAAGTGGAGTCAATTGTGAATAGAATACTACATAGAAAAAAATTATAGAAAAAAAATGACAACTCATATACCATAAAACCGGTTGTACCTTGTAATTTTAATTATAATCCGTTGTTACACAAAAATACAAAATAAGTCTGCTACCCCTTTTGGCCATTTGTCACAATCAATAATTTTCTACCAATATGACAACTGAATGACTTAAATGTTAAGTTTCATAGCAATTTGATTAATTGACCCTGCTATTAACTAACTATTAGTGGCACCCAAGTGTTTTTTTTTTTTTTTTTGGGCTCCCTAAACAAGACTTTTCTGCAACATTATGCAGAAGAGTTTTATACTCTTGTACCACGAAAACTTCAGCACCTCCTTCACCCCTTTTGCTTCTCCCTGATAAAAACCATATTACACAAATAAATTCAGGGAAGCAAATTGGTAAGGTAGCCTTTATTCATTCATTGCATCATTTAAAGTGAGATACATTTCATATTATCATGAGTTGCTTTTGTTGCGGTTCATCATCTCAACTCAGCAAAACATTGAAAAGGATCAACAGCAAAGTCAGACGTTGTCCTTCTTCTGATTCTACTCTTTTGCCTAGTCAATCACAACTTGGTGAGTATGAATTTAATTTCGCCTTTGTTTTTTACATATCACATAAGATGTATGTAGGAATTGAACAATGAAAAATACACCACTTTATGACATAGTAACTTACTTGTGTATATCAAGTGTTGCAATTTTAGTAAAACGAATAATATATTTGCAAGTGTTATATTTAAAGGAGATCGGTGAGGGAAATGATCAAAAAATTGTTGCTTGGTAGATGGAAATGAGAGAATTTGGCTAAAAAATTGGCATTTCAGCAAACTGAAAAAAGTCGTTTACCAAACATAATCAGTTTAGTTCCTAATTCTCTTTTCTCGTAAAATGTTCATTTCAGCTCAGTAAATCAGAACAGACCCTAAGACCATCTTTAGATAGCTCTCCTTCTACATTATTTCGCCTTCATCTTATTTGAAGTGTATACGGTTTTGCAACTGTTTTCAACTAATTGAGCATGTATATCTTCAGACAACGATGAGCCTGACACGGCTGAAAGAGCTAACAATGACAGTGGTTCACTCTTCACAAAATGTTTTACTTTTCAAAAGCTATATGATGCAACACAGAATTTTAGTCCAAAATGTTTGGTGGATATAGGCAGCTTTGGAAATGTATACAGAGGAAAACTCGAAGAAACCGGAGAGGTAGGTACAATCATGAAATAAATTCTGTTACTGTAATGCTTTGCTTCCTAACATATTATTGTACGTCTTTGTGTTGGAAGACTGACATTGGATGGTTTAAAATTAGATCGTAGCTATCGAGCATTTGGACAGGAATGGACCGCGAGGAAACAGAGAATTTCTTGTGCAGGTGATGATGTTGAGTATCCTTAATCATCCAAATTTGATCAATCTTATAGGATACTGTGCTGAAGTTGGAAATGAGAGGTTTTTAGTGCATGAATATCTGCCTTTGGGATCCTTAGACAAGCATCTACATGGTAATACCCTTTCCGAGTTCTTGTACATTGTTATCAGATGCAAAACCCGGCTGAAAATTGGAACTGATGTATATATCATGCCTAATAATTTTCTTAGGAAGCTAAGAACATTGATAATTCTCACTGAACAAACCATTTTGTTTTCTTATGTTCTTGTATTAATCTACTTAACTGAGCATTTCCTCTTACATGATAAAATAAAACTCGATTTTTCTTGGCATTTTGACATTCTTCTAGCTGATTTTCTTGAGATTGATATTTCAGATAGATCATCCCAGGGTATGCCTCCCTTAGATTGGAATACGAGAATGAAAATAGCTTTGGGGACTGCAAGTGCATTAGAATATATCCACCAAAAAGCCGCTCCTCCAGTCATCTACCGGAACCTGAAGCCCTCCAACATCTTACTAGACAGTGATTTCAATGCTAAACTCTCTGATTTCGGGCTAGCTAAGCTTGGACCTACTGGTGATAAGGAATATGTTTCTGCAAGCATACCGGAAAATTTGGGCTACATTGCACCAGAGTTTGAAAGAACAGGTCTGTTGACTGTGAAGGCAGATGTATATAGTTTCGGAGTTGTTTTATTAGAGTTGATCACAGGGCGAAGAGCTGTTGACATGACAAGGCCACCTAAGGAACAGAATCTGGTCTTTTGGGTTAGTTCTCGCCTTATTTTATTCTAGTTTGCATCTTTGCAGCCTACTGAAGTACTGATTTTCATACTTATAGTTCTTTTTCCTATCTGTTGTACGCGATTCCATACTAGATTCTATATAGAATCCTAAAGCTAACTACTTGTAGTTCTTTAATTGATGTGCTTTACATGAATTCCATAGAACTGATGAAAATTTTGGAAAACAACGTTTCTTAATTAGGCCCTTCAGATACTGAAGAAACCAAAGAAATTTCCGGAGTTAGCTGACCCGCTGTTGCAGGGGAAGTTTCCATCTCAAGGATTCAACAAAGCACTTGCAGTAGCAGCCATGTGTCTTCAAGAACAACAAACAGCACGACCCATGATGAGTGATGTAGTCGCTGCAATCATGTCCATTTCATCTGATAAAAATCTTGATGACAACATGATATCTCCTCCCCTTGAAGCCCAAGTTGAGCATAATAACTTGGAGAAGGTTGCCGATGAATTTGATCTTGGAAAATAGTGTGAATTGCATCCAATTTAGTATCAGAACATCACTACTTATGAACAATACTATTCAGACTGAGTGCATTGTAAATATAAAGTCTGTTTCCTCTGTCTTTATAGATGATTGCTTCTTGCGTATAACAAAAATATTTTCAGAAACTAACATGTAATATACGCTTAGTAAAAAAGTATAATGATGTATCAATATTCAATACTTGTTACTAGCTTAGTAAAAGTTGCAAATAAAAAACTAAAGACAGAAATATTAGGGTCCATTTTCATGAACCAACTCCACTTAGTTTTCCTGATTTTGCTTGCAATTAGCTTATAGTTTGCAATAGCTCTTATTAGTAACATACATGTATCATCTCTTCGTGTATAGCACAGTTTTTTCACGCGTAAATGGATACTAACCTATGAACCGGTGAAGCCCTGTCAAGTGAAACAGATTTTCCCTGCCAAGCTCAGAAATATAGCTCATTAGAATTTTCATATATAGACTTAAAAAAAATTTCACAACTTGCATGAACTAATAATACAATTGACAAAATATGGAGAAAATATGATTGAATAGCTTAACTTTCTCATTAACCGAAGAAGTATATATATAGATACAAAGATATTCCTAACCCTAACATAATTAGGAATAAGATAGAATATTAACATAACTAGGAAACCTAAAGATATTTTACAATATTTCCCAATTATTATCTTAACATCCCCCATCAAGATGGAGCGTGTAGATCTCGAATGCCCATCTTGCCAAGCAAAAATTCAAATTGCGCCTTTCCTAAGGCCTTTGTAAAAATATCCACCAATTGAAACTTCGTAGACACATACGATGGCTTAATCACTCCTTCTTTAATGGCATCCCGAATAAAATGACAATCTACCTCAATGTGTTTTGTCCTCTCATGGAACACCGGATTATTAGCAATATGAAGTGCCGATTGACTATCACAATACATGTTCATACCTTGTTTATGCTCTACACCCAATGATCGAAGTAATTGCTTCAAGTGTTTCAACTCACATTCCAACCCCGTCATTGACCTATACTCGGCCTCTGTGGAGCTTGTAGAAACTGTTGGTTGCTTTTTAGTCTTCCAGGACACGGGAGATAGCCCAAGCAATACAAACCAACCTGTCAATGACCTACGAGTCAAGGGACAGCTTGCCCAATCCGAGTCACACCATCCTTCCAACTGGAGACTACTATCCGATCTTAGTAGAATGCCCTGACCCAGACACTTTTTCAAATACCTTACTACTCTCAATGTCGCTTCCCAATGTTCCTCTTTTGGACATTGCATAAATTGTGATAAAATATGCACCGAATACGCCAAATCCGACCTTGTGACTACCAAGTATATCAAACGACCAATCAACCGCCTATATTGTTCACCATCTCCATACTCCTTCCCTTCTGCTAAAGCAAGTTTATGATTTTGCACCATCGGAATATCTGCCGGTTTTGCTCCTAGTAACCCTGTCTCAGAAATAATATCCAAAGCATACTTACGCTGACACACATAGAAACCATGTTTGCTACGTGCCACTTCTAGCCCCAGAAAATATTTCAAGGCACCCAAATCTTTCATTTTAAAACATTGACACAAGTACGCTTTAAAACTTTCCAATGCAAATGTATTATTTCCTGCGATTATCATATCATCCACATAATCTAATACACTCAATTTCATTCCACCCTTCGAAAGAGTGAATAAAGAATAATCAGAGTACGACTGTTTAAATCCATATTTCTTCAATGCTGTGGACAATTTTTCAAACCAACACCTAGGAGCTTGCTTCAATCCGTATAAGGACTTCCTCATCTTGCAGACTTTATCTGAATTGCCTTGTTGAAATCCTGGTGGTACTTTCATATAAATCTCCTCCTCTAAATCACCGTGCAAGAAAGCATTATGTACATCCATTTGTTGTACATCCCAATTTTTAATTGCTGCAACTGCTAAGAAAGTACGAACCGTCGACATTTTTGCCACTGGAGCAAATGTTTCATTGTAATAGATCCCTTCTTCCTGATGATTACCAAACACCACAAGTCTTGCTTTTAATCTTAGCAGATTACCTGCCTCATCTCTCTTCTCGGTGTAAACCCACTTGCTTCCAAGTGCTTTCTTTCCTGCTGGTAGACTCTCCAAGGTCCAAGTGCCTTGATCTTCGAGAGCCTTTATCTCTAAGGCCATTGCTTCTCTCCAACCTTCATGTTGCATTGCTTCCTTGAAAGATCTCGATATTCGTGCCTTAGTGATTGCAGCAATATAATTTCTATGTTTTTCGGAAAACCGATCATAATTCACAAAATATGTTATAGGATAGGGAGTACCTGAGGATGATGATGCCGCGGATTAAGATGTGACTTTATTTTTATTTTTCCGAATAGTGTGAGTAACGCAATCTCGCAACTTCGTCGAAGGAAATTTCACTCTTTTCCCCCGTCCTAGTTCTTCGTCACCCGTATTTTCTGTCGCATTGTTGTCCCCCTTTTCCTCAATTGTTTTCGTGGCCTGAACCCCTTGTGTATCATCCTCGAAGCTGGTGGGAACCTGCCTAGAGTTGCTGTGATGTTGCGGAGAGCTGCCTGGCTCCATTATGCTGCTGCCAGCACCCACAGCAGGGCTCAAGACCTGCTGGTCAGGCCCCTCCGCGTCAAGGCTGCGACTGGGAGTACTTCCCCGCGGCCTGGTCGCGGAGTACTCTGTATGGGGAGGTCGCATGGCCTGCTGGGCAGCAAGGTCCGCGGGCTGGTCGTGGCCTGGCACCTGCTCCCGCGGCCTGCCTGCGGAGCCATCTGTGTCGGCCTTATCTCCCCCTTCGTGCATTGTATTCTCATATGCACCCACCAAGTTTCCACCATGCCAAGCATCAAACTCATCCTCATAGTCTAGCAAATCATCCATGGACACACTCTCTGAAGTACCACCAATGTTGTCCACAACTTCTCTAAACGGATACACACGTTCATGAAACTTCACATCTCGAGACACAAAATACTCCCTTGTCTCTAAGTCAAATAGTTTCCACCCTTTTTTCCAAACGGATAGCCAAGAAACACACATTTTCTACTACGTGACTCAAATTTATCTCCCTTACTCCGTTTATTATGTGCATAACACAAACACCCGAACACTCTAATAGAATCATAAGACGGAATTTTGCCAAACAACATTTCATATGGAATTTTATTGTGAAGAACCGGGCTTGGAGTCCGATTAATCAAGTAACAAGCAGTCAAAGCACATTCACCCCAAAATTTTATAGGCAATCCCCCCTGAAACCTCAAAGCACGAGCCACATTAAGAATATGTTGATGTTTTCTCTCAACTCTCCCATTTTGTTGAGAGGTACCCACGCAAGACGACTAAAAAATAATCCCATTTTTAACAAAATAATCTTGAAGATGATTAAACTCTGTACCATTATCACTCCGAACAACCTTGATAAGTCTATCAAATTGGCGTTTAATTAAAGCAATAAAATTGAGAAAAGTGGATTCAACCTCAGTTTTATTACGAATTAAATAAATCCAAACACCTCTAGAATAATCATCAACAATTGTTAAAAAATATTTCGCCCCACATGACGAAGGCACTTTATATGGTCCCCACAAGTCAATATGAACTAACTCAAACAAATTACTAGCATTATTCTCACTAATAGGAAAACTATCCCTAGTTTGTTTTGCACGTGGGCATACATCACAAACATTTTTATTTTTCCTAACTAGATTACTCACAGGAGGAAGTAACTTCAAAATTCTTTCCGACGAATGACCCATACGTTGATGCCAAAGATCCACCACACAATCCACTGTTAACACCTTCGCTTGCGGCACACCTCGGAAAAAATAAAGTCCATCTTGTCTTTCACCTACGCCAATCACCGTCCTCGTCAACTGGTCCTGAATAACACAAATTTTGTTAGTGAATTGAATTGTACATTGCGACTCATCACTGAGTTGAGTAACAGAAATCAAGTTACAATTCAAATTAGGCACAAATAAAACATTATCAATCACCAAACCGCCATCCAAAGTGACCGAACCCAATTGATTCGCGTTCACCATTTGACCATCCGGCAAGCCAACCGGACAGTTCTATATTGTCTTGACATTTCTCATGAGAGATATGTCATTAGTGACATGATTGGAAGCTCCTGTATCCACAATCCATAAGACATTTGTTTTACCTTCCAACCGTGGCTTAAGAATGTCGATGATTTGTTGTGCTTGCTCTGTTGAGACTCCTACAAGACCTTGAGTAGGATTATTTTGTGAGGATGTTGCTGCCCAGAAGTGGAATTCGCACCTCCCTGGACTGCATTAGCCCGAGCAGCAGGTGATGATCTAGACGACGAAGCACCACGACCATAGCCTCCTTTTCCTCCAGGAGTACTAGAGCCGCCCCTTCCACGTCCTCCTTTTCGATTCTCATCCCATCCTTCCGGAAAACCGATAATCTGAAAACATCCCTTCTTCCAATGCCCCATACGGTTACAATGAGTGCAAAACGGGCGTTCTCCATCTCCGGACTCTTCTTTGTTACGAGACTCTACCTTAAATGCCATCACATTCTCCTTTGGTTTTCCGTCTCGAACCCGTAATCTCTCGGTGTTTATCACCGTCTGGTAAGCATTGTCAACTAAGGGTAAAGGTGACTGAGCTAACAATTGAGCTCTAATTGCCTCATACGGATCATCAAGACCCATTAAAAAATAATGAAGGTAATCCTCCTCTCGAATCTCCGTAACCTGTTGTGCGATGTTGCACTTACAAAGACCACAAGAACATTGCGGAACACGGCAATATTGCACCAATTCCTTCCAAATTTTCGACAACCGACCAAAGTAATCCGTCACCGACTCGGTTGATGTCTGTTTGCATTCTCCCAACGATTGCTTCAACTGACAAATGCGAGTTCCACTAACCACACAATATCGTTGCTTGAGATGCTTCCACAAATCAGTCGCAATATCAAAATCTTCAATCTGTGAACGGATACCATCATCGAGGGTATTTGTAATCCACGAAACAAGCATGGAGTTTACGGCAATCCAATGCTTCTTCTTTACCACATCAGTTGGCTCCAATATTGAACCATCTATGAAACCAAACTTGAATTTTGCTATCATCGAGCGTCGAACTGCTTTAGCCCACTCATCGTAGTTTGGTCCCTTCAATTTCACAGGG